TAAGGTTGGTTAAAGCACTGTTGGATCAATAGTGAGGAAGTGGAAGCTGCATCACACCATGCAGTCACTACCTAGACAAGGCCAGCCCTCAAAAACAGAGTACACAGTGGCTGAAAGTAGAGTGAAGGTGCAGGAGAAAACCATTTCAAGAGTTCTGCATAATTGTGGACTGTATGGGAGAGAGAGAGAGAGAGAGAGAATGTAAAGTGTTTAGGTAAGGCTGCTTTTGGACCCAGTCTGTCAAGTCACAAACAGCCCACTGCTAGAATTACGTAACACATTGGTGTTCTGCGTTTTTGGTGGATGGATAGCCCTAGACTTTTCCAGAGAAAGAAACTCAGTTAATCAGAATTCAGAAAATCAGCTGTCATAACTTTATGTGCTTTACGTTCTTCTATGTAGGCTACTTTTCAAACTGATAAATGTGCAGGTGTACAGGTGTTCCTATTAAATTGGGTGGTGAGTGTATATTTATTATAGGGAATATTATATAGTATACCTATAGCAAATACATCTTTGTAATCAGTTATACTGATAAGTCAGTAAATGAATAATTTACCATAATGCTAGACATCCCTGACAGATCCACCAGAGAAGTCTTAGAGAAGTACTGAAGATGAGTAAATGCCTTAAAGAAGAGAACTTCCAGATGAACATGGAGACATCCTGAAGATGTACAGTATTTGTGCTCATGGGGGTAATCCTGAACAGTTTTACACAATTAGTACTGTTATTTTCTCTTTCTAACTGGTAAATATTGTAAATAAGTTGTAAGTATTAAATTATTTTTGATTAATTGCCTTAAGGCTTTTGTTTATTTATAGGTCTGTCACTACGTTCTTCAGTGAAATTGACGTAGCTATTTGGCAGCCTAGCTGTTTTTGTCACTGTTTTTGTCTGCATGATTTTGGGAAAGTGTTTTGATGCTCCTTCTTATGAGGACAGACTGAGAGTGAATAAGTTTCTGTCGTCATTAGTTTCCTCGCAGTGGCCAGGGCTGTACAGTGACACAGTCAATTTTGTGACGCAGCTGATTGTTAAGTCACGTGTTCGCGAAGCAGAAAACTCTGACCATTGTTAATGTGTTTATCAGGCAGCAGACTGATAGGTGAGCATATTCTGTGCGGAAATGTCGGAAGAAAGTTTGTCTGAACTGCTGAAGCTTTCCATCGACTCTCCTGAAGGGGGAGTGGTAAACTTTAAGGCCCTGCGCGCGCTGCTGCACGGTATACTGAAGCGCCTGTGCGCGCGGAGGGACGCGGACGCCGGCAGTGATGTGGAGGAGAAAAGCTCAGAGCAGCAGAAGGCGCCGCTGCCGAGTCTCTCAGCCCCGGACACGAGCGCACAAGAGGACAGCGAGGAACGAGTGTCCAAGGTAAAGCCCCCATTCCCTACTTCTGTATCATCTGATCTCCTTTTACTGTCCAGCACTGATGCAATACTACACAAACACATGTAGTGTTGTTGTTTATTTGACTCAAGAGAATTAACTCACACTTTTGTAACATTTACTAATTACTGTTTGTTGCTCTAATGTTTAATAGTTTGCCAGAGAAAGCTTCTTAAGGTGCTGTATTGCTATATTATATTTTCTGGAAATGAGTTCTCTAACTTTAGGAGTTCCTCTTGATCAAGCTCAGCTGGTCTCACTATTCAGGTGGTGGTGGTGGTGTTGTTGTTGCTGCTGCTCTTCCGGCTGCTCCTGTTAGGGGTCACCACACAGATCATTGGTCCATGTATTTGATTTGGCACAATTTTTACGCCGGATGACCTTCCCTCCCTAATTATATCCAGGCTTGGGACCGGCACTGAGAGCATACTGTTGCACACAACCCTAGTGACTGGAGTTGGTTCCCTGGTTTGGAAGTGAACCCGAGCCACAGCGGTGAGAGCGGTGTGGCCTAACCACTAGTCCTCCAGGGACCCTGCATTGAAGCTTCAATTATGTGTCTGTAAAAGGGATGAACTGTTTAAACAGCAGTGAAGAAAGCTCTCTGAAACATCTGCTCACTTCCTCACTTGAAATCACTGATCTTTGCATTTTTTTCACTATGCAAGTCTAAAACTATATATATACTGTATATTTACATATGTATGTATGTGTGTGTGTGTATATATATATACACACACACACATATACATATACACATATACATATACACACACATATATATATATATATATATACACACATACATATATATGTATGCAGTTAGGTCCAGAAGTATTTGGACAATGACAGTTTTTGTGATTTTGCCTTTATACACCACCACAATGGATTTGAAATAAAACAATCAAGATGTGATCAAAGTGTAGACTTTCAGCTTTATTTTAAGAGGTTCCACAAAAATATGGCATTTACCATTTAGGAATTACAGCTATTTTAAGCAAAGTAACTCCATTTTCAGGGGCTCAAAGGCATTTGGATAAAGTGACATAACTGTAAATATAACCATAATTTTAATACTTGGATGAAAATCATTTGCAGTCAGTGACTGCCTGAAGTCTGGAGCCCATGTTCTCAAAACTCAAATTCTGAGTTTCCTCCCTGAAGATGCTTTGCCAGGCCTTCACTGCAGCCACCTTCAGTTGCTGCTTGTTTGTGGGTCTTTCTGCCTTCAGTCTTGTCTTCAGTAAGTGAAAAGCAGCTCTATTGGGTTGAGATCAGGCGACTGACTTGGCCATTGAAGAATATTCCATTTCTTTGCCCTCAAAAAGTCTTGAGTTGCTTTTGCAGTATGTTTAGGGTCATTATCCACCTGCACTGTGAAGCGGTGTCCTGTCGGTTTTGTAGCATTTGGCTGAATGTGAGCAGAGAGTATAGCCCTATACACCTCAGAATTCATCTTGCTACTTCTGTCAGCAGTCACATCATCAATAAACACCAGTGAGCCCGTTCCACTGGCAGCCATACATGCCCATGCCATAACACTGCCTCCACCATGTTTGACACATGATGTGGTATACTTTGAATCATGAGCTGT